TCTAGAAAGCAAAAACAAAACAAAACACAACACAACCGAGGGGCTAACCATGCTGTGTTTGCATCTTGGGGACCCCTGCCTCTGCCTGCTGCAAGACTGCATCACGCAAGCCTTGCCAAGACTGCAGATAGCTTCATTTACCACCACAAATGTATCTCCACTAGCTGGCGTTCACATTAAGGAAAACAATTAGCAAATTACTTAATTGTGTTTTTTTCCTTCTGCGTCTTTATTTGCAAAGCTGCTTTGCCTTGATCGGCAGCCTAAGCACTTGTATGAGCTCTCCGAGCTTACTTCTAGGGTTTGGAATGCAAGGTTTGTGAAAATATAACATTTTGGAAAAGCAAGCTAATTAAAGTGAGGGTTTGATTTCTAATGAGAGTAACTCAGTGAACAGTTTCTATACATTTATATACACTTAATTTTTAGAATAGGAATGGAGATAGTTTCAATTGTTTTTCCCAGAGTTTTTCCTTTATTGACATTCAGTATTCACCATGGGAAGCATGTAACACTGGCAGCTCACCCATTTAGAGGTCAGGTTTCCCGTATTTTCTGAATGAAACAAGCCCAGAATAAGCAAACAGCCTGAAATGAAAGAAATGACAAAAGTCTGTTAAAAGGCCCATGCATTTTATTCAATTAGAAATATAGAATCTCTCGCTGGCCAGAAGTTATGTAAAAAGCACGAACCAAGTTAGAAGCAGGATATTCTGATACCAGAAATAGCAAGCAAATCAACACAGTGTAAGGATAATAATCTGGGAATCATTAAACCTAGGGATAAATAACCTTCCGTACCTTAATATTTTTTCAGAGCATCATAACTCTTAAATAAGAACATTGCTATTCATTCTCTTAATCCCATGTTCTCAAGAACAAAATCAAATTATGTTTGGTATATCCTTTAAAAAGGATATTATCATTAATATTCTTTACCGATAATTTAATTAGAATATTTTTCTGAAAGATGACTTAAAGAAATGTGATTTATCTTAAAAATGAATTTGTGTGGACTACCTCTTCCATGAAGATGCTAGATGAAGCATTACTGTGTGCCATTGAACATACTGCATCCTGCCTTACTCATAAGTTAGGTAGTTTACTTACAATTTTAAGATCGATAAATAAGTTATCATTAGGTGAATGGATGTAAGCAGTGTTTGAGTTTGCCAGGGCCAAGACAAGACATCATCAGCTCTTCTGTTACTGATTTCATCCTCCACAATTTTGGTTGAAGGAAAAACAAGGAGAGGCCCATTGCTGTTGTCTTTCTGACCCTACAAATGGTCTATCTTTCTCTCTCTCTCTCTCCCCCTCCCCCCCCCAGAAAGTACTCTTCACTTTAGGTAAGTGCAGAGTACAAAATTTCAATGTTTCACCATTGTAAGTCAGGCAAATATCAGTACACATGTAGCACGACAGCAAGGCATTCCGATTTATGGACCAGCAAAGCCCAATTCAGATGGATTCTGCATTGTGGCATCAGTGAAGTGAAGTGGCATGTGTCATCAACTGAGCATTTAGTCTATGCCAAGCACATGGTAAGAATGTATCTAACGTATCCTTTGCTTACATAGGAAGCAAATGTATCTAATGTTTCCTTTGCTTACATAGAAAGAATATATGCAATATTTTATGATATCATTTCTATAGTTCACCCAAACCTGGATTCTGTTTGATATTAGCCAAGTCACGTTTTGTTTTTATCCTGACTTTCACCCCTCATGGTTAGCTATCACACCTCCAGCCCACAGCTCCTACTAATCTGCTGTGAGTCACCACGGATTTGTCTAATAATCCCTCCGTGAATGGTGGTATGGTGTTCACCTCTTGAACACCATATGTTTTATATTTTCTGAGCAAAGCTGTCACTTTATTTCATTTCTTTTCTAAATTATTTTCCTCTCTTTCAGATGTCGTGGGATAACTCTTTACTATGTAGTTTGTTCACAAGGTCAAGTGACCAGAATGCTGGCTCTGCCACTAGCTAGTACTGAGACCTTATTGACTTAACATCTCTAGGCATCAGTTTCTCACTGCTATAGCAAATTATAGCCCCTAAACTCTCAAATTTAACTTCTACCTATAATATGATTATAGCATTGTTCTAGATTAAGGAGATTTTGTAATTCACTTCACACCCTTCATGATTCCATAATCTTTGCTCATGTGTCCTTAATCTAGAACAATGCTATAATCATATATATAATCATCTGGAGATCTTTTCTGAACCACCTGATGCTGGGACCCTACCCCAGACCAGTTAATCTAGGAGTGAAGTCCAAATATCATATTTTTGAAAATTCTCCAGTTGATTCTAATGTTCAGCCAGAATTAAGAACAACTAATCTTCACTAAAGCATCCTGATTTTATCTTTGATATCTCTACCAGTCACTATTATGAATAATCAGACAGAAGGGGTATTTGTCTGTTCTGTGTTGCTATAAAGGAATACCTGAGGCTGAGTAATTTATAAGGAAAAGAGGTTTATTTTGGTCACAGTTTATCAGGCTGTGCAACCATGATGCCAGTATCTGCTCAGCTTCTGGTGAGGTCACAGGAACCTTCCAAACATGATAGAAGGCAAAGGAGGAACTGCCATATCACATGGCAAGAGCAGGAGCAAGAGAAAGATGAAAAATGTGCCACACTCTTTTTAAAGAAGCAGATCTCATGTGAACTCAGAGCAAGAACTCACTCATTACTGCAAGGAGGGCACCAAGCCATTTATGGGAATGAGCTTCCATGACCCAAATACCTCCCACCAGGCTCAAGTTTCAACACTGGAGATCACATTTTAACATGAGATTTGGAGGGGAAAAATATCTAAACCATATCAGAAGGAAAGAGGAAGCTGTTCTAAGATCCCTCTTTATAGAAACAGGGGAGCAAGGGACGAGGAGTCTGATAGGAGGCAGGTAACTAATAACAGAAAAGATATTGTATTGGGAAAATATAATTTTATAGGTACAGGATATAACCCTTGACAAGCTTGGCTGGTTGGGTTCCAGGATACCCAAGAAAAGAGTGGTTGGCTTCTATTTTAACCACTATTTCAACTTGTTCTAAAAAGTTTTCCCCATGAAAATGCACCCCCAGTTTTATATGATACAGTAGTGGATATAAAGCATGCTTTATGAGGCTTTATAAGGATCTAGAACTAGAAATACCATTTGACCCAGCAATCCCATTACTGGGCATATACCAAAATGATTATAAATCATTCTACTATAAAGACACATGCACACGTACGTTTATTGTGGCACTATTAACAATAGCAAAGACTTGGAACTAACCCAAATGTCAATCAGTGATAGACTGGATTAAAAAAATGTGGCATATATACACCATGGAATACTATGTAGCCATAAAAAAGATGAGTTCATGTCCTCTTCAGGGACATGGATGAAGCTGGAAACCATCATTCTAAGCAAACTATCACAAGGACAGAAAACCAAACACTGCATGTCCTCACTCATAGGTGGGAGTGAGCAGTGAGAACACATGGACACAGGGAGGGGAACATCACACACTAGGGCCTGTCAGGGAGTGGGGGACTGCGTGAGGGATAGCATTAGGAGAAATACTAATGTAAATGATGAGTTGATAGGTGCAGCAAACCAACATGGCATATGTATAACTATGTAACAAACTTGCACGTTGCGCACATGTACTCCAGAACTTAAAATATAATTTAAAAGAAAATTTGGGACATATACACCATGGAATACCATGCAACCATAAAAAGAGCAAAATCAAGTTCTTTGCAGCAACATGAATGCAGCTGGAGGCCATTATTCTGAGTGAATTAACACAGAAACAGAAATCCAAATGCTGCAAGTTCTCACCCGTAAGTGGGAGCTCCACATTGGGTACTCATGGACATAAAGAGTTCTGTTCCCAGTAGACTCTGTAGACTTCATAAGGAGGGTGGAAGGGATGGGAAAAGGGCTGAAAATCTTTCTGCTGGGTACTCGGTTCACTCTCTGGGTGATGGGATCATTTATACGCCACACCTCAGCATCAAGTAATATATCCACGTAACAAAGCAGCACATGTACCCACTGAATTGAAAATAAAAATTGGAAAACAAAAAATAAAAAAAAGAAAATGCACCTCCAGTTTTACATGGTACAGTAGTGGATATAAAGCATGGTTTATGATTATGCTTCAGGGTCAGTTTTGCTGGGATGGCGCTCTTCCACAAACATGGGGCATACACACATCTGTTACGATTCTAGCCCAGTGCCCCACGTTGCTTGCCTTTCTTTCTCATAAATTCTTCTTCCTTGAAAAGCCATCTTGCAGCAGTTGAATTGGAATCTATAATTCATTGCCTTTTTTTTTTCTTGACCATGAAAGTTTTACATTTCTTCCAATAGAAAAGAAATGGTTAGATTTAAAGCCATATATGCTTAGGGCTGAGACTGTCGAGAAATTGTACAACTATATTTGATGGCAACAATAAGGGGTGAGTTATGAAAGTTAGGTTTAGGGTGAAAGGCATCATAGTGTAGCAGAGAGGACATTGACTTATGTGTCCCTCAAACTGGAAGTTAGACTTACTCTGCCATGAAGTGGCTTGATGCCGCCAACTTCTTTTTAACCTTTAAAAGTTCTCCATTCTAAAAACTGTGGTATTAGTGTGACAGGATCATCTCTAGGGTCCCTTTCAGCACATAGGTTCTGTAGTTTCAAACTCATGTGTCACCAGCTGCGTTTTCTTTGGCTAACGAATGGATTGCTTGTCCAGTTGTTCTTTTTAAGTGATACTGAGGTTTCTAAGACTTTAATGAGATGTACTCACCTGTCAGGCCAAGAGCCCATTGGCTGTCTTCTCACAGGCATTAGACCGAAGGACCTTAGAAGCACAGCAATGGAATAAAATCCTGTTTGTCCGTTTTATTTCATACAAGGTTTCATATCTGCAGGAGAAATTTGATTTTTTATTTGTCCTAATATGTTAAAGTCCATTTATTATTTTTAACCTTTCTAGGACTGTTTCCTTGGGCCCTCAGTCTAATGCTGTCCACCACCCGTGAGCAAAACTCTTTCTACGGCAAGAAACATCAAATATCTGTAGTGGGTGAGTGAGACAACTTTACAATCAGCATGTTTGTATTAACAGTATTTCTGCCTTTGTTAATGTATTTTTGCCTTAAGTAATTCCAGTTTCCCTAGGAGAATATTTATAGGTTTCCATGGGTCATATAAATTTTGCCTGTCAGATATGCACAACATGTGTCTTTAAAAATCAGGAAGCCAGTTCTTTTTGATAGCTTCTGAATAAATGTTCACTCTCAAAAGCTTTAACATTGGCTACCAATTGACATTTGAATATAAAATAGGCTTTTAAAATCTCTCTTCTTAGTTGGCTAGCATCTGTTTTGTCATATACCAAATAAACACAGGTACATAAAAGATTCATATTGTGATGCCAATGTTCGTGACGGAGGGTTTCGTGGACACAGCAAAAATGTTAATTTGCACCACATCCAGGCATTGGTTTTCCACTCTTTCTTGTCAAGCTCCCGCAGAGGAACCACAGAAGCAGGATTGCTCGGGGCGCACAGTTCAGCTGAACCGACAGCCAGTGTGTAGAAGTTACCAGGTAACACAGATGCATATTGTCACAATAAAGAGGCACAAATGCCCTCTGCTTTTTTTTCCTGGCAGGGAGGCTTTAAAACAAGAAGACCGACTTATGAGACAGTTTGGCTCTGAGCAGTGCGAGACATTGAGTCAGATCATGGCAAGAAAAAATCCAGACATGGTTTATATTGAAATAACATGCTTCTCACATAGAGCACATTCTTTGGGGAGGCATACTTATGCACCAGAATGGATTTTTTAAAAAATTTGTGCTGTCAAGCCAGCGGACAGTATCAAAAAGTGGCATTCTGACAGCAATTTGGGTCAGCTGTTCTGTCTTGCTTAAAATGATCATATTATTTCCTCTTGATGCATTTAAATGATTTGTTTCCAGAAGGATTTATTTGCTAGGATATAGAAGATTCAACCATTCATTCAGTAAATATTTACTGAGCATCTACTCTGCTCACATTTGAGGTTCTATTTTAGATGGGAAGCCCTCTTGAGCCTGTATTTTAAGAGAGAAGCAGAATAAATACAGAAATAAGAGAAAGATGTAGTATGTCAGATTGTGATAAATGCATTGGAATAAAATAAAGCCAGGCATAAGGATAAGGCATGCAGTGATGAGAGGGTGCTATTTTAAATAGCGTACTCAGAGAAAACCTCGCTGAGTGGATAATATATGGGTGATGAATTGAAGAAGTAAGGAGCAGGAGGTGCATCTGTCTAGAGAAAAGTGGTGGGGTTTGGAGTAGGATGGCCTTAGCAGAGGTGTTGAGCAGTGACAGGTTCTCAAACTATTTTTGAGGTAGAAATGACAGAATTGTCTTCCAGACTAGATTTGGGGTATGAGAGAAAAATGATCAGGTTGACTTCAACGTTTTTGGCTCGAGCAACTGAAGGGTGGAGTTGTCATTTATTGGCATGGAGGAGACTGCAAAAATAAGTTTAGAACATGTAGAATTGGGATATGTGTTTTAGGATTGTGAAGTTTGAAGTATTTATTAGACATCCACATGTAGAAATCAAGTGGGCAGTTGGATATGCAAGTCTGGGCAAGATCTGTGGTGAAGACATACATTTGAGGCTATCAGTTCTTAGATGGTGTTCAAAGCTACAAGGCTGGATGAGATCATTTAAGGTAGTGATTCTCAACTGAGACCCACCTTCACCCATATAAATTCTTCTGTAATTGGTCTGTGATGGATCTCAGACTTTGGCATTTTTAAAACTTCCCAGATGATTCTTATCTCTGTTTTAACCTGTAACGTAGGTTAAGCACCTCTGACTTAGAGATTGAGTGTTGCTAGAGATGAGAAATACTCTTAAGACAGAGTTTAAGGCATCCTAGCATTTGAAGGTTAAGGATATAAGGAAGAATCAGAAAAGAGAATGAGCTACTGTGAGACAGGAGGAGAATAAGCAGAGTGAGGGATTCTGAAAGCCAAGTGTAGCATATTAAAGAAGAAGGGGTGATTAAATTTATCAAACGTTGCAGACACGTCAAACCAATGAAGACTGAGAATTGACCATTGGATTTACAAGTTGGGCCTTTGGTGGCTTTGACAAAAGCTGTATCAGTAGTCCAACGGGGTGATGACTTGGCTGGAGTGGATTCAAGAGAGAATGGGAGAAGACAGAATGGAACTAGTCCTTCTAAAACCATTCTTTCTATGAATTTCTGTATAAAAGAGAATAGAGGATCAGGGAGTTAGCTGAAATAGGAGGTGGGGGAAGGAAAGTTTTATTTTTTTCAGATGGAAAAAATAGTTTCATATTCGTATGCTCTTGGATATGATCCAATAATAGAGGAAAATCATAATATAGGAGAAGGAAGGAAGAATTGATGGCGAGGAAGAAAGGATGTGTGTGCAGTGGATGCTTTAATTTGGGTGACAGCATGGCCAGTTGCTCCACATAACAGGAAGGAAGGTTTGAGTACATGGGCCATTTCCAGGTAGGCAAATGCTTCTGGTGGTGGGTGCTGGAGGACATTCTCTTCAGACTGCTTCTGTTTTCTCAGGGAAATAAGAAGCAGGGACTTTAGTTGAGAGATGGCATGGGAAGGAGAGGTTAGAGGCCTGAGAAGTGAGCAGAGTATGACATACACATAAGGAAAAATGCATGAGTTTATTGCAGCACTATTCACAATAGCCAAGATTTGGAAGCAACCTATATGTCCATCAACAGGCAAATGGATAAAGAAAAGGTGGTACATATACACAGCGAAGTATAATTTAGTCATAAAAAGAATGAGATGCTGTCATTGGCAACAACGTGGATGGAACTGCAGGTCTTTGTGTTAAGTGAAATGAGCCAGGCACAGCAAGACAAACATCACCTGTTCTCACTTATCTATGGGAGCTAAAAATTAAAACAATTGAACCCATGGAGATAGAGTAGAAGGATGGTTACCAGAGGCTGGGAAGGGTAGTTAGGAGAGGAAGGGAAGGGGGGGTGGCTAATGGGTACAAAAATATATTTAGAAAGAATGAGTAAGACCTAGTATTTGCTAGCATAACAGGGTGACTACAGTAAAATATAATTTAATTGTTCATTGAAAAAGAACTAAAAGAGTATAACTGGATTGTTGGAAATGCAAAGGATAAATGCTTAAGGGGATGGCACTCTATTTACCCTGATGTGATTATTATGCATGGCATGCTTATATCAAAATAGCTCTTGTAATCCATAAATATATGCTCTTACCATGCACCAACAAAATTAAAAATTAAAACAAGAAAACAACAACCGCAACAACAAAAATGAATGAGTAAATGGATGGGGAAACAGAATTGATGGACAGTTCAAGGTCACAGGCTTAGTTTGAGACCAGCAGCCATATGTGTGCTTTTCAGCCGCATTCGGCTGCTTGCCTGGTGCAGAGAACCCGGAGAGTCGGACTTAACCATGGTGGAGTTCTCAACAGGTGAATACAATGTAGGAAAAGCGAGTCGCAGAGTTGAGGCTATATGCAATGGTGTGATTATAATGATGAACTCTGTGATGTATACTAGCCTGGGGGAAAGTGAGGATATCAGAGGAGTGGAACACTGGAGGTCTGGACTGGATCAAAAAAAAATTGCTGAAGCCACGGTTCTAGTAGTTCACTATGGTGTGAAAAAAGTGTCTGTTTTGATGAAAGGCAAACACATTTGTTACTGAAGCCACTTTTACTTTGAATCTGCTTAATTAAGTTTTTAACCATTGAAATTAGTTAAGTTATGCAAAAAGAGCCATAGCTTTGAACATTAATATGCACTCTTTCACTTACAATTATGAAATGAATATATTAATGGATAATCTAAAAACAATTAGTGGTTGCTAGAGTACATCTCAGTTGTCTGTCTCTTGTAAATTAATAAATTATCAGTGACAGAATTAAGCAATCCTGAGCACTTTTTAAATATTTATGCTTCTTTGCAACCTCAGTAGTTTGGGGAAATGATGACAAGCAGCAAAATGTATGTCTCCACCTATTTTGTAAATCACTTTAGTTTTGCTAAATTGCTGAAAAGGGATTCGGTGTAATCAACAAACACTTTTCAAAAACCTAATTGATAAAATTGCATTATATAAGACTAATGCCAGAGCTATGAAATGCTTGACTTTGATAAGATTTTGTCCGTTACATTCAGAATTGCTATAGGTGAGTGGGGGATTATCTACTTTGTAACCTAATCAAATGGTTTGACCCTTTGAATGAAGAGGGCAGCTTGGATGTGTTGCTCCATGCCTACCTCCTGATTGGATGAGGAGTAGCAACTTCCTGTAGCATTAGAACCTGGCATGGTAGGTCCACGTGCAGCTGCCCCATCCCCCATACACCATTAAGACCAGGTCACTTCCCATCAACTCCATCTTGCCTGGTCCTGGCTTATGTTCTGATATCTGATGCCAGAGTCCACCTAGCCATCAAAATCACATCACAGGCATGAGGACATCATGAACTTGTGCTGCTTACCTCTTTCATTATGGTAAAAATATGGTTCACAATTCTGCAAAATAGAGTGTCTCTTTCTTGTCTTTTTTTTTTTTTAAATTTATTTATTATTATTATACTTTAAGTTGTAGGGTACATGTGCATAACGTGCAGGTTTGTTACATATGTTGTATACTTGTGCCATGTTGGTGTGCTGCACCCATCAACTCGTCATTTACATCAGGTATAACTCCCAATGCAATCCCTCCCCCCTCCCCCCTCCCCATGATAGGCCCCGGTGTGTGATGTTCCCCTTCCTGAGTCCAAGTTAAAGGAGTCATAGCTATTGACATCATCAAAGTTAAAGTTTTGAATACATTCAAAAAACCATAAAAACACATACAAACCTATCACAATTTTGAGGTTTTATTTCTATAAAATAATCTATACCAAATAACTATCACATTCATATTCTCATATATACCTCACTGCACAGATGTGGGTGGCAATGTCACAAACCTGAGTCAGTGTACAGCAGACATTGCCATTGTGTGAAGACACCCTCAGTATCGAAGTGTGGCAGTTTAGATGATCAATGTTAATCAATAGTTGCATGAAAACAAGGCATCACCACGTAGAAGGGAGTGCATAGATGCTTTCTAAAGCAGATCCCATCAACAAGAGAGGGGAAAGAGTTGAAGGGGAACTAGACAGAGAGGCTAATATGTGTACAGAATGGTGGTTGGGAAACGCGGTTTTACACTCCCTCATGTTTGAATTATGTGCGTTTTATTTTGTTTGAAGTAGCACCTGGGAATAATCTGTATCCATTGTATTGATTTATTTGTATCTATTGATTGATGGATTGATTTGCAATTAGGAAGCAAATCACCACAATACTTAAAAAGAAAGAAAACCTGAACTTCAATCTATATTCATCACTCAAGTTAGCAAATGGTCCATCTTCTGGGAGTTACTCTCAGCAATGTTTCTCATGCTAAATATTAAGTACAGGAATGTCTCCTGCTTTAGCTAGGGTTCGAGTGTGTTTACAAACCTTGCTTTTTGTGAGGTGTCATGGAGATTGAAAATATTTATGCGATTCCTCATGAAAATGGGTTAAAAATGGAAACTGTGGCTAATGCTACAATTAAATTAATTAGAAAATAGTTCATAAAAACTTGGGGACAGATGAGGGGACCAAGCAACTATTCATTGTGGTGGGAGAGTTTACATCTTTAGGATGGATTTCACTAGAGGGATAAGTTATATCTCTCTTTTACCTGGAATGTTTTGCATTACAGTGATAGCTATTTTAGCTTCATAAACCATTTGTT